GACTATTTATTGTGCCTGGGAGGCAAGGGGAGGGAGAAACCTCAACAGGCTGAAGTTGGGGAAAGTCTGGAGTCCTCTGTAAAAGATAGGAAGGTCTCTGCTGGACCCATTACGGAATGAGAGAAGGTTCTCAATAGATCATTCCTTTTGTTTCTCCCCTGGGCTTCTTAAGCTTCTCGAAGTTCTTCAAGATGATGTCATATAACACAGCCTACAGGGCCAGAGAGGAGTGGGGGTCAGTCACAGGCCCCCAGTGGCTCCTGTGCCCCATTTCTAGCCTTACGGAGAGGCTAAGTTCTGTGACCCTTCACCCCCAGCCTTTCAGGGAGTAGGTGGCCTAGGAAAGCTGCCTCTGTCCCCCACCCCCTTGCTTCCTCACATAAGCGTTGCGGATCTCCATGACCATCAACCGGATGTCTCGGTACTCTGCCTCATCCAGCTCGTGCACCAGCTGCCGATAATCACCCTGTGGGAGACTTGGGTCAGGTCTGACTTCAGATGTGTCCTTCCCCCACCATGCACCCTGACTTGGGCCTCACCTACCACGTGGGGCTGCTTGGCTGCTTTGGTCACAGCATCGCCCCGTTCAGAGAAATACCTGTAGGAAGTAGAAGAGTATGGAGTGGGAGAAGGAAGAGGGAGCCCAGGCCTCTGTCCAAGGCGAAGGCGGAGTGTGCATGCAGGTGTAGGTGGGCAGTCACTCACTTGGAGATTTGAGTGTGGAAGCCTTCCAGCTTGGTGTGAAGGGTGGTCATGAGCTCAAACACCTTCTCCTGGGGAAAGAATGCAAGGGGGAAAGTGGAAAGCAGCATGGACTGGAGCAGTAAGGAGGGCAGAGGAGTGGGGTAGCACTCTCACCTGGACAGCCACTCCGAAATTGTTCCCATCCTCAATCCGAGGTATCTGCAGCTGCAACCAGGTGGTGACCTGGGAGGAGGGAAAGGCATCAAAGCCACAGCAGCTCCCAGCCTACTTCCCAGGTTCCTGGCCTCTGCTTCCCTGCCCACAATCGGGGGGAGGTATGCCAAGTCTGTCCCAAGCCCCAGGGCCTACAATTCTGGCTTCATTTGCTGTGCTCTCTCCTGCTGAGACCCAGCTGGTGCTAAGCCCTACCTGATGGGGACGAAGGAGGACAAAGGGTTAGGTCTGAAGCCTGGGGGTGGGAGTGGGAGGGCTCACCAGGTTGAGCTGCTCAATGACATCCTTGATCTCAGGCTTTAGACGCTGAAGGAGGACCACGATCTTCTCATTGCAGTTCACTGGGCCACAGGGAGGACCTAGGCAGTGGGCAATGGGTCAGTCACCAGGCTGGGACTGTGTGAGGGCAGGGAAGAGCAATCCCTGGGGAAGAGCTCCTAGGAGGTGAGACTCAAGTCCATTCATGGTGGTACCTTTGTCTTCGTCTTCCCCTTTCTTCTTTTCATCTTTGTCTTCCTTCTGCAGGGAGAGAGGGGCTCTTGGCAGTCAGGCCTAAGGTTGATTTTTCCCATGATTGGGTCCCTCCTCCCAGCTCTTCCCGGCTTGCCTCCTGCTGTTTCTTCCGTTCCTCTTTCTCTTTCTCCTTGACTGGATCAGGCACTGGGATGTCCAACGGGGCCTTCAGATTGCTCAGGTCGGCTTCGTTGAGAGCCGGCTCCTGGTGCAGGGTGGGAGGAGAGCTAGAGGCAAAGGCATCCCTCTCGCCTCACTCTCATGGCTCCCCAGACTGCCCCCTTGACCCCTACTCTCTAGCTTTCTGCTGCCCCCAGTACCTTTAAAAATGCATCCAACTCAGAAATCTTCTTGGGGAAGTAGCTCCCCAGCAGGTTCTCTGTCTGTGCGGTGGGGGTGGGGGAAGATGGGGGTCAGAATCACATGTTCTTCCCGGCAGTGAAGCAGGGCTGCCACTGCCCAGAAGGGAAGGGTTGAGCCCTGGGAGTTAGGTAGGAGTGGGGTGTTGATGGGGCAGGTCTTACCTTGGTACACAGGTCTTCACGGAACACGTCCACCTGTGGGACACAGGCAGCCCTTCACACACCTGGCTTTATGGCCAGTTTATATGAGGACTGTTCCCTTAGGGCTGTGTAGGGCCTGACCTGGGGAAGGGTGGAATGCATCCCGTGGGGTTGGGGAGAGTGAAGTGAATCCCCGTGGGGCTGGATTTGGGGGATGAGAACATTCCTGGCGGTGAAGGGAGAATGATCCAAGTGAGTACAGATCCCTCGGGTCTCCTGGGCTGTACAAGAAGGGGTGTAAGAGCCTCTGCGACTGGGGCAGGGACAGCGCACCCTGTGGAGTGGGCCGGGGGCCCTCCCGTGGGAAAGGCCATGAGGTGGCGGGGCAGCTCCGGCACCCCGTCTGTGTGTGGCCCCGGGCCCCGCGCCAGTGGACTTCCCCTCCACGCCAGCTCTCCGCTTCACCGCACCCCGCTGAACCTCGACCGCCTGGCCTCTCCCGGCACGCGGACCTCGCCTGTCTCCCCCGGCCAGGGCGCAGGTGCTCCTGGCACCGAGGCTCACGTGGGCTCCGATTGACCACTACCCCGACCCGCGATTGGGGCCGGGGGGGGGGGGGGGGGGGGGGGGGGGCGGGGCGGGTCACGGACGCCTGCAGCCTTTCGGAGCCACGCCTCCCTAATGGGCCCCTCCTCGAACCCGCAGCGCTCACCTTGGCTTGGGCTTCAGGCTGGACCCTAAGCGTGGCCATGGCCGGGGCGGGGGGCCTAGCGCCGCACGAGAAGCAGAGTGTGTACCGGGAAGAGAAAGCGAAAGCAGCGCTTGCCACCCGCACGGCCTTCCTGGGTAGCCGGGGAGCCGAGGTACTGGAGGGGGCGGGGCCAGAGCCGGAGAGGAGTGGGCGGAGGGCGGCAGCCGCGGCCGGGCTCCCCCTGGAGGCCGAAAGGAGCGCTGCCACCGCCTCCTCCGCCGGGCTGCGGGTCCCAGCCTGCCTCCCCCTCCCCGCCCTGCTCCCGAAGCCCTGCCTCTCTCTCCCCGCCTCCTCGCTTCCCGCCTTCGGTCTCCCAGCCTACTGCTAGCCTCCCCACGCACCGCGGGCCCGCCTCCCCGCCTCCCGGAGCCCATAGGTCGGCCACCCGGCCAGGGCCCGCCTCCCATCTCCCGGCCTCCAGACTCCTCTGGTTCTCTTCTGTCCCTGTTCGGCTTGGGACGGTGATAAGCCTTATCTGGCGCTCTTCCATCTTTTCTGGCCTCCCTTCCCTAGCCCTGGCTCCACGGGCATCGTCTGACCCATGTGGTGACATTCAGACGCTGTCACCACTCCAACCCAGGCGCCGGTCAGCTCCCTCCTGACCCATGTTGTGGGCTACAACCCACCTATACTCTCCACACAGACCTCTGTCTGGCTTAAAGCTCTTTCTCAGTTTCCTGTTGACCTTAGAATGAAATCTAAAGGGCTTTCCTGGCCCAGAAGGCTTGCCTGGCTTGCCTGGCACCTGTTCTGCAACCTCACCTTCCATGCTTTCCCCCTTCCCTTACACTTGCAAATAGCTGGGCCTTCCATTGTTGCTTAAACCCGATGTCACATTCATTCCTGTCCCAGGTACTTTGGCCTTACCGATCCCTTTGCCTGACACACCCTTTCCCTGCCTCGGGTTGTCATTAGGTTCTCAGCTTAGGTTCTCAGCTTAAATATCACCTCTCCAGAGGGAACTCTCTCCATCATCCTTTATAAAGTACCTCCCTGCCAAGTCTCTATTACAAACCAGCCTGTTGTAGTACATTCATAGCACTGGAGCTCTCTGATATTAGCCAGTTTATTTTGGGGGGATAGTGTGGTTTAGACCAGGGGTTGGCAAACTTTTTCTGTAAAAGGCCAGATAGTAAACATTTTAGGCTCTCGTGGGCCATATGGTGTCCATAGTAACTACTCAACTCTGCCCTTAGAGCAGGTAAACAGCCATACCTAAATGAATTAGCAGGGCCAGGTTCCAGTAAAACTTTCTCTATGGACACTGGAATTTGAATTCTGTGTCATTTTCACATACCATGATATATTCTTTTTTTTTTTTCCAATCATTAAAAATGTAAAAACCAGGGCGCCTGGGTGGCTCAGTTGGTTAAGCGGCTGCCTTCGGCTCAGGTCATGATCCTGGAGTCCCGGGATCGAGTCCCACATTGGGCTCCCTGCTCGGCGGGGAGTCTGCTTCTCCCTCTGACCCTCTTCCCTCTCATACTCTCTCTCACTCTCTCTCTCTCAAATAAATAAATAAAATCTTTAAAAAAAAATGTAAAAACCTTTCTTAACTCTCAGGCCATACAAAATCTGGCCATAGGAGGGCTGTAGTTGCTGGTCCTCGGTTTAGAGCAAAATGGACCCTTATTGCCTGGGTTTATAATCCTGGCTTTGTTATCTACTAGCTGTGAACAAGTCACTTAACCTCTGTGCCTCAGTTTTCACAACTGTACAGTAGAAACGTTACCAAACCCACCTGATAGTGGTGGTGTTGTTATGAGGGCTTAATGTCTTGATTTATAGGAAGAGCTTAGAGACACTGAGAACGCTGCCTGAAACATAGTAAGCACAAGAGAAGTGTTTGCTGTTCTTTGTGAGTTTCTCATCTGCTTCCCCCATTAACCCATCAGCCCCCAAACAGCAGAAACCTTGTCTTCCTTATTCACAAGGCATGGAACTATGCTTGGCTCAATAAATACCTATTAAGGAAATGTGCCCAGACAGGCAGGCCCGTAAGGAAGGTGGAAGGGGGAATTCAGTGAAGGAGGCAGAAAAAAACAACCAACCAGGCTGGAGACAAAGCATCTGCTCAGCAGGAGTGCTGCCCATACGGACGGGCACTCTTACCTGCTCTAGCATGCGGGTCCTTGACATCCGAGCCCCCCAGAGAGCTTGAAGTCTGCAAGGACTGGGAGACTTGAAAGGACAGCAGGAAAGATGGAGAACAAGCAAAGAATGGCTGAGGGACGCACGAGAGACTGCCTGATTCCCTTCTTACCCTTCCCACCCTTTCTGAGTCCCCCCAACCAAATGATGAGCAGAGCCCGAGGTAGGCCAGGTTTGCCTTTATTTCTTTCAGTTATGCTTGCGGCTGGAGTGGGGCCGAGGAAAGAGCCCGTGGCCTGGGCTCCCTGGAGACCAGGGCTGATGATACCAGCTGCCATAGGTGAGGTACCAGGCAAAGGTGCCCACCGCGGCACCCACCACCTTGTGGGTGTACTGATGGAAATAGATGACGGTACAGAGCAGCAAGAAGTTCCAGAGGCCCAGCAGCAGCACGTTGAGCAGGAAGACCAGGCGGAGGGGGGCCCCGGCTGGCAGCCCGTGGGCCAGATACTTGGCGAACACTGCGGCTTCCTCGGCCATGAGCAGGCAGCAGAAGGTGAGCAGGAAGGTGTGGGAGGAGACGGTGTAGCCCCGCCACTGGTGGCCAGCTGCCAGGCAGCTGCGGCGGTCAGGAAGCTCGTGCAGCAGCAGGCCTTGGGGCAGAGGCTCGAAGCAGGAGCCGGTCAGGTCCTCGATGAGCAGGAAGGCCCGGCCGGCCCCCCGCCACACGGCTGCCCCCACCACCAGCCGGCTCAGGTGCCGGGCGGTCACGGCCACACGCCGCGTAGCCAGGAACACCACCAGCAGCACGAAGCCCCCCAGGAAGGTGCATGTCCAGCCCCATGCCGAATTCACAAACTTTCTGTGGGCACAGAAGAAGGGAGGCTAGCTACTGAGACCCGCCTGTGCCCCATCTTCCACCCCATCTGTGTTCCCATCCCTGCTCTGTCCCCTGCCCTACATATCCTCACTGGTTCCCTTTCCTCCCCCTTCCTCCCCAGCCACTTAAACCTTGCTGTCTCCTTAGAGGCCCATTCAGCCTTCGAGAGCCATAGTTCCTCTTCAGCCCTGCTCCTGATTTCCCCTGGACCCCAGGACTCTGTTCCCCTCCCCCTCCTCCCAGTTTCTCCTCAACCTCTTAGCCTATTTTTAGCGTCCAGACTGGCAGCACGACAGAAACCTGGAGGAGGGAGCTCGGATCCCAGAGTGCAGGGAGCCAGCGCCCACAGCCTCCAGTGGACTCACATGTTGAAGAAGTTGCCGTGGCTGGCGAAAATAGTCCGAGGGTTGACATGGAACTGCAGAAGGGGCCCAAAGATGACCACTGCTGCCAACCAGGCATGGTAGAGGCGCCGTAAGCAGGGGCTGCCCAGGAGGCGGGCAGCCTGTTCACTTCCAAAGTACAGCAAGGCAGAGGCCACCCAGAGCAGCACCCTGACCAGGCAGCCCAGCAGTGCCTGGATTCGGGCCCCGGCCCCCAGCCCTGCCCCCACCACCGGCCCCCGCTCCATGTTCCCTCCCCTCCCCACTACCCGCTTGCTCTGCTGGGTAGCTGAGGAGGGGCTGATGGGGCCCCCCCCGGACAAGGACGGGCAGTGACAGGTGTGGCAGACACAGGGCAGAGCCCTGGTGGCAGCTGGCAGGCGGGGGAGAGGGGCGGGGGGCAGTAGGGGCCAGGGCAGAGGGCTGCCACGTCAGCAGGGTCCTAGCTTTGGTTGTGTGTCCTGACAGTGGCCTATGTCCTTTCCTTTTCGTCCTGTGTCCCCAGCTCCAACCATATTCTAGTTCATGTTGGAGGCCCAGGCCTGCGGTTCAGTGTTTTGTCCACAGCCTGCCTGGGCCTGCCCGTCTGTCTGGTCAACCAGTCACCCCCACCCCACCCCAACCTGACCATGTTTGCTCCGCAGGGAAATCAGGGGTCACAGAGATTCAAACTAACCAAACCTTGGAAACCATTTAAAAAAAAATCTGTGTCTGCCTCATCATCAGTGTGATCCAACCCCTCTCCTAAATTCTGAGCACAAGAGCCCACCACTGCAGGATGCGCAAGATGACTGTGCATGGCGCCATGTCCAAGTTAGGCTGTGGGGAGCACACCAACAGGGGTATCCACTTGGGTGCACCATGACCGTAGGGCTTGACCCAGCCCCAGCCCCTGTCTGGTGTGAGGGACTCTGAGTGGCTCGTCTGGCCCTATGTAAACCATGGTGGTTATGCAATGCACAAGACATCAGATCTAAGATGGGACCATTCTTTGGTATGGTTATCATGACGGCCAAGAGATGAAATTCATGTGTCCTGGGGCGCCTGGGTGGCTCAGTTGGTTAAGTGTCTGCTCAGATCATGATCCCAGGGTCCTGGGATCGAGTCTCACATCGGGCTCCCTGCTCAGTGGGGATTCACTTGTAAATGTTGGATTGGGGATTTTTGTGTAAATTTTCTCAAATAAATGCTAGCAGAAACCAGAAAAAAAAAAGTGCCTCTGCCACTCCCCCTTCCTATGCGTACACTCGCTCTGTCAAATAAATAAAATCTTAAAAAAAAAAAAAAAGAAATTCAAGTGTCCTGTGGAAGGTGTATTGTATGAGAGATGGTGGTGGCCCAGGCTGGATTTTTCAGGACCCCAAAGATTAGGCTCACGGCCACGTGATGCGGGTGGGGGTGGGGGTGACCCGACAAGGAAAATCCCCAGCTTGGAGCCCATCAAAACCTGAGTTTGTGTCCTCCAACCAGTTGCCCTGGGTCCCAAGTCTCACACTGGCCTCCCAGCCTGACCCCTGGGGCTGGAGCCACAAGGCGGAGAGCAACCTACCCAAGGGATGTCCCTGTTATTCAATAACTGTTCTGAGATCCTTTTTTGTCATCCTTCCTCATTCCTCAGAACTGGTGGTGGGATTTCAGAGTACAGTGGAGGCCCACGAAGTAGTGAAAGGAATGAGCAAGCAAGTACACCTGGGGTCTGAATTGTGTGACTTTGGGAAAATCAACTAATCCTCCTTGGTCCTCAGTGCCCACATCCATAAACCAATCAAGAGGGATTAATCAATCAGGTTCCTTCCAGATCCTAAAGCCCATACTTCAACATAGTTCCTGCTCACGGACCCTAACAGGAAGACCTATAGAACCCCTCACACATCTTTGACAAAAAAATTTTTTTAAAGATTTTATTCCTTTATTTGAGAGAAAGAGAGAGCATGAGTAGCAGGGAGGGGCAGAAGGAGAGGGAGAATTAGATTCCCTGCTGAGCAGGCTGGATCCCAGGACCCCAGGATCATGACCTGAGCCAAAGGCAGACGCTCAACTGACTGAGCCATCCAGGCGCCCGACAAAAAATTTTTCATTGTAATTTTAAATAGTTGCACAGGACATAATTTCCAATGCATTCTCTCTCTCTCTTTCTTTTAAATATATCCAATGGAATCTAAATACTACAGTGATTATGTATCTTACCATTTTCCATTTTGAAAACGTGACAAGGGGCGCCTGGGTGGCTCAGTCGGTTAAGCGACTGCCTTCGGCTCAGGTCATGGTCCCAACGTCCTGGGATGGAGCCCCACATCGGGCTCCCTGCTCCGCAGGAAGCCTGCTTCTCCCTCTCCCACTCCCCCTGCTTGTGTTCCCTCTCTTGCTGTGTCCTTCTCTGTCAAATAAATAAATAAAATCTTTAAAAAAAAAAAGTGACAAGATCTTAATAGTCAGAAAGTATATTTCCATTAGACTTCCCCCATACAAGTTATCCTAATGTTTTTATACCTGAACATTTTGTTGATCACACTTCTCTGCCAAAAAAATGTATATAATTTGAAACTTAATTTTTATTTTTTTATTACAAGATTATTATATTTTATTATTATATTATAAGATTTTATTTATTTGACAGAGAGAGACACAGCAAGAGAGGGAACACAAGCAGGGGGAGTATGGGAACGGGAGAAGCAGGCTTCCTGAGGAGCAGGGAGCAGGGAGCCCAATGTGGGGCTCGATCCCAGGATACTGGGATCATGACAGGAGCAGAAGGCAGACGCTTAACAACTGAGCCACCTAGGTGCCCCGAAACTTAATTTTTTTTTTTAACGATTTACCCATTTATCTTAGAGAGAGAGGGCAAGCACACAAGCAGGGGGAGGGGCAGAGGGAGAGTGAGAGTATCCCAAGAAGACTCCTGGGAGATCATGACCTGAGCCCAAACCAAGAGTTGGCTGCTTAATTGACTGAGCCACCCAGGTGACCCTGAAACTTAATTTTTAAGTATTTCCTGTGATCATAAGGCCCTAGAAGTTAAAACATTCTTCTTCCGGATAGAGTTCTCATAATAATTGTTAGTAGTACAAAATATATAATTAGTATAGCAAAGATTTCACACATTGTGATAATTAATAATAAACTCAAATTGTATTGGAAATGCAACTCTTAATGAGAAAAATGGATGGTACTTGGGGCCTTGATTAAAGGAGGCTTTGAGGGGCGCCTGGGTGACTCAGTCAGTTAGAGTTCTGCCTTCAGCTCAGGTCCTGATCTCAGGGACCTGGGATGGAGCCCCGCATTGGGCTCCCTGCTCAGCGGGGAGTCTGCTTCTCCGTCTGCCATTCCCTCTGCTTGTGCGTGCTCTCTCTCTCTCCCCCTGACAAATAAGTAAATAAAAATCTTAAAAAATATATAAAAGAGGCTTTGAGGATGTTAACAATTTTAATGTGCTTCTAATTTTGGCACCCTGGAGGTAATACAGGTTCTGGGTGAGGTGGGTGGCATGTCTGGGTTGAAGTGGCAGAAGGGGAACAAGGCGGGCTGGTGGGCAGGGAGACTGGCATGATGGTTTCACATGAGGCAGAGCAGAGGAAAGAGAACACGTGTAGGCTGGGCAGCTGGGCAATCTATTTTTTTAAAACTAACTGTTTTGCGGTGAAAGAGGTATCCCTTTTACCCCTTGCTGTGTCTTTGAGAACCCCTGGAGGTGTGCATCCTGGTTTGAAAATTGCATTAGGGATAATGAAATGTCATGGGGACGGAGCGATCAGAGCCCATGTGAAGCCCGACCAACTCCCCTACTGACCACACCATGGCTTTGCTCTGGGGCATGTCGCCTGACCTGGGCACGCTGCTATTTCCTCACCTGTACAAAGTGTGGCTGGGAGGGTGGATGAGGTCCTGGGTATGAAGCACCCAGATGGGGCCCCGCATCAGCGCCCACCAGGTTCTCTCCAGCTCTGGGCTGCTTCTTCTCAAAGACCGGACCCGCGCCAAGGCCATCCCCAGAACAAAGCTGATGTGGGTGTTCCAGGCTCTAATCTAAACTGCGCTTACTTCCTGCTATCTTGATTTCTACTCGCTGCAAGTTTCTAAGTTCAGTGAGGGAGTTGTCTGTTGCAGAGCTCAGTTAACAAATGATTTTGGTCTTTCTCTTCATCTTGGAGGCATCAAAGGGGGATTTTTCCCCACAGAGAAGCTATCTGAAGGCTTTGTCAAAACTATTTTCTTGAAGGGAGAGGATGAAAGACCTCAGATAGGAAAAAGAGACAGAGACAGACACTGAGCCAGGTTCCCACAGAATTTACTGAGGGAGCCAAAGCCAGTGAGAGGACGAAGGAGTCCTACTTCAACATCTCTCCTTGAAGCTGCTGGCCTCCAGCATGAAGGAACAGTCTGGGAGGGAGGGCCTGCCCTGTGTGGGGCCACATGGAGCCTCTCACACCACAGCCTGTCCCACCCCAAAGACCCAGACAGAGAGGGAGAAAACATAATTCCCACCCCAGGAGGGTGCTGAGGACATGCCTTACTCATCCCACCTTCCCCGAAAAGGCCAGAGCTCTAGCCTTCAGGACCTCTGGAAGAATGGCCAGGACGCCTAGCCTTCTGATTGGCCAGTCTAGTCCTCAACACACAGGCCAGGGCAATGGGCCCGGCTGACAGCTCAGTTCAGACCTGACATCTACTCTAGGAGCTAACACTTACATTCACACATGGTTAAAAACACTCAAGAGAGTTCTCCTGCTGACAAAGGGCCACACCTCAGACAACAGCAGTCCTCTGGACTCTGGCCAGAGATAGAGAACCAAGCCAACTGGGTGTAAGCACATGAGAAGACCACTCTGCCCCTTGGGGACGATCTTCCAGGGCTCAGCGAGGGCCCAAAAGCCTGGGCTTGTGTGTCTTCCTGTCCAATGCCAGGGACTCCCCAGAGGTCTCCCAGAAGGGAGAAAGGCAGGAAGAGGCAGAGAGCTTGTCGGAGGCTCACCCGTGGACGGGGCTGGAGATCAGATCTACTGGGGTGAGGAAAAGGCTGTAGAGGGGTGGGGCACTGCTGCAGGGGCGCGGGGGGGTTCCTCAGACTCTGGCAGGTCGTCCTGGAAGTACTCAGCCTGGCGGTACTGCCACAGACGCAGGTTGCCATCCCACTGCGGCGCAAAAGGGGGCAAGCAGTCAGGGGTGCTGCCCTGCCTGGGTCAAAGTCCCAGACGCGCGCTGGTTCCCCTGCCCCGCCCCTTGCAACCTCACCGAACTGCTGACGATCTTT